TCGTCCATGAGTATATCTTCTGCTTTGTCTTGGGCTTCTTCTACCCTGTCATGATGATACTCTTCCTTGTCATTGGAGGTGAGCTTGCTTCTGTGTGCCACTGGAGGGGAATTCATCCAGAGGGAGGAGGCTTGTGCTCCGGACCCTGGAGAGTCCAGACTGATGGGGAAGGCCACACACCCAGGACAGAAGGGGATATGCATACCTCATGGGAGAAGGCATGAGAGTTGTGTGTGAGAGTTGGAGTGAGGAGAGACTTGGGAGCAGGGATGAAGGCAGCATCTAATGGCAGCAAGGGGGTATCCTGGGGAATGTGGAAGAAGATTTCTGACTGGAGAGGAGCATCTGAGCAGGACACACATAGAGGGAGACAAAGGAGAGAAAACTGGTGGAGGTTAGGAGGTTCAGTATGAGAGCCAGGATATATTTTTTTTAATATATTTTATTGATTTTTTACAGAGAGGAAAGGAGAGGGATAGAGAATTAGAAACATCGATGAGAGAGAAACATCGATCAGCTGCCTCCTGCACACCCCCTACTAGGGATGTGCCCGCAACCAAGGTACATGCCCTTGACTGGAATCGAACCCGGGACCCTTCAGTCCGTAGGCCGACGCTCTATCCACTGAGCCAAACCAGTCAGGGCATGAGAGCCAAGATATTGAAGGGTAAACTGAGGAAAGGTGGAGGTTAGGAGGTTCAGTATGAGAGCCAGGATATTGAAGGGTAAACTGAGGAATCCTGGTTTTACATGAGCCACTTGAGACCTCCATGGGTTTCTGGAGCTGGGTTCAAGATCTTTCCCAATGGAATCTTCCCGTTCCATCTCTCCCCAGTGCCCTGGGATGGGAGAGCAGCCAGGGACACAAGGCACAGGTATCTGGAGCTGGCGTGACAATCTTTTCTCCTGCCTCAGGACCGATGAACTTCATGATGCATGACCGGCACACGGGCCCAGCATGGAACGTGCTAATGTGGACCATGCTCTTCCTGGGCCAGGGCATCCAGGTCAGCCTGTACTGCCAGGAGTGGTATGCACGGCGGCACTGCCCCCTGGCCCAGGTAAGGAACCATGATACCTAACTCCCCACTCAGGAGTACATGCCTCTCCTTCCCAATAGCTAACCCCCTATTTTTGCCCAATTCAACAGCTATGATCAGGGGCCAAGGCCTGATTTGGGGGTGATGGGCTCCCATGTCTTGGGTGCACTGGGAGGGACCTCATTGACAACTCACCTTTCTTTGGCACAGACAACTTTCTGGGGGCTGGTGACACCTCGATCCTGGTCCTGCCATACCTAGAGGCACCCTCACTGTCCTGATGACACCAGCAAGTTCTCTGCCTGCACAGCCTGGGACCAGGGCTCATCTCTCTGCACTCCAAGACGTAGCTCAGAGGCAAGGGGGCCTTGCAGGCATGACCCCACCAGGGAATTCTGGAGACTCAGATCTGTGGGCCTGAAGACAGCTGAACACAGACCCAGGATGGTGGTGGCTCTTGAGGCCCCACCCCCATAGACTGGGCACAGGGCCCCTCCCATCCCATGGCTGTCCAGATTTGAGGAGACTCACATATTTGGTGAATGTGGGGTGACTTACAAAGACCTGGGACCACCGAGGTCTGAAAAGGGTTTGATTCTGGTTTTGTACTTCCACTACAATAATAAACTCTATGTTTCTTTTTATTCATTCGTTTATTCATTCATTTATCATTTGCTGAAGGCCCGCTTCTGATAGGCATTATTGAAGAATTGTGTCTGCAGAGACAGGACTTTGTGGCAGGAGGGGCTGAGGGTCTTGGGTGACATCCTGCCTTACCTTCTCTATGCCACTCCCCTCTCCCCAAAACCTGGCCGCACGGCCTCTTCCACCTTGACTCCTTCTTCAGCTCTTTAACCCTTCCGCTCTTGGCAACCTCTATCACATTTTGAGAGGGCACATAGCAGGCCTGCTTTCATTCAGCATGAACCTCCTAGACAGACCTTGGGCAAAATGTTCAACATCATGAGTCTCAGTTTCCACAGCTATAAAACAGACATTAAAATTAGGAGTGTCCTGACTGTATAGGGACAGTAGGTCAAAACATTTGTATTCAAAACCATTCCAGAAACTAGACTGTGTGGTCACCCTAAGAAGAAGGTCATTTGTGTCTACCCTACACAGATTCCTTGCCTAACCTGGTGGTGGGAGATAGCTGGATTAGAAAAGGGGAATGTTAGCTCCAGGGGGACTAAGAACCAAATAAGCCAGGATCTCTAAGAGAGAGGGGGGCACTTTAAAAAATATTTTAACAGTGTCTAGACTAGAGAATATATTTTTATGTCAATAATACAGATCTATTTTATCATTTTGAATTACTGCATGATTGCACTGCATGTGTATTGATCTAATTACATACATTTCAATTGTTTATATTTGCTCTTCAAAACAATTCTATGATGAACTTTCATATATATATATCTTTGTGCATTTTCCTAGGAGAATGTTCTAGAAGCAGAATTACTGGAACACTGGATGGGCTTATTCAAATTTTATACACATTGCCCAACTTCCTTTAGAAAGCTTACGTTGCCTGCCCATCTCCCACCCCCTTCCCGATATGGGGTTTTGTCAATTCATTTATTTTTACCAATCTAATACACAGAAAATTATGTCTCCTATTTTTATTTTGCATTATCCTTACTAGTTTTAGTTTTATTTTTTAGTTAATCCTCACTCAAGGACGTTTTCCATTGTTGATTTTTTTTTTTTAATAGAGAGAATGGAAGAGAGAGGTAGGGAGGAGGAGAGAAAGAGAGAGAGAGAAACATTGATGTGAAAGAGACACAATGATTGGTTGCCTCCTGCACGTGCCCCAACCAGGGCCGGGGATCAAACCTGCAATCCAGGTATGTGTCCTTGACCAGGAATCAAACACGCTACCCTTCGGTGTGCAGACCAATGCTCTAATCACTGAGCCACACTGGCTGGGACTGTGCTTACTACTTTTAAAAATTGAATATATTTTCCAATGTGTACTAACCATTTTTATTTTATATTTTATTTTTTATACTAGTGGCCCAGTGCACAGATTCATGCACATTGGAAGAAAATTAATTAGAAGAAAGATTCATGCAGTAATTACATTATTGCAAAAAATTACATGTCAAAATAGTATATATAATATAGTATTATAAAATTTAAACACACCTGCAATTGGCACCACCGAGAACTTTATATGTATCGTGCAAGCACGAGTCAACGTTCATTTTTAAATTGCCAGTGCTTGTCATATGTACCAGCTGGTCAGTAGATCGGACAGTTGATGAATAAATCTCGATGTGGTTCACATTGAATGTCAACAAAAACACCCAAATTCACGAGCGACATTGACAGATCGAAACATACACGTGTGATTGGTGCCAGCAAGAGCTTTATATGTATCACGCATGCACAAGTCAACATTTATTTTTAAATTGCCAGTGCTCATCATATGTACTGGCAGGTCGGTTGGTCGGATGGTCAGATGGACGGTTGGTTCCTTAGCCTTTTATATATATAGATACTCTATTTTATAGAGCAGATTTAGGTTCTCAGCAAAATTGAGCAAAAATAGAGATTTCCCATATAGTCCATGCCTCCATACATACATAGCCTCCCCCATTCTCACCATTCCCCACCAGAGTGGTATATTTGTTACAACTGGTGGACCTACATTGTCACATCATTATCACCCAGAGTACATAGTTGACATTAGGATTCATTCTTTTTTGTTGCATATTCAATGGATTTGGACAAATTGATTTATTTCTGTTTTTAATTTTTCCCCAGACTTATTCAGATATTATTGACATATAACATGTAAGTTTAAGGTATACCATGTGAAGATTTGGTACATGTACATATTGTGAAATGATTACCACAATAAGGTTAATTTTTTAACACCTTCATCATCTCACATAATTATTATCTTTTTTGCATCTATGATGATAACATTTATGATCTACTCTCTTAATAACTTTGAAGTATGTACTATGTTATTGTTCATTATAGCCAGCATGCAGTACATTAGATCCCCAAAATATTTTCATCTTACAACTGGGAGTTTATACCCTTTGACCAACATCTCTTCATTTCGCCCATCCCCATCCCCTGGCAACCACATTCTACTCTTTATTTCTTTTTCTTTTTTTTTTTTTTTTTAGAAAATATAATTTTTTTTGAAATT